TCCACAGCTTTCATGTATGTTTATAAATGGTCACACAGGATTTTCAATTATAACTAAATGTTTATGTTTCAGCATGTAGCATAGCAGATTAGCATGTGAAAATGTTAATGTTTGAACTATTAAGCTAATCTGCAAATGTAAACTGAATGTTCATAAAAACCATCCTAAAAATTTAAATAATAAATCATTATTAGCTGTATTTTTGAATATCAATATTATGCATGTTTATTATTATAATATATTGAAATATATTATTACACATTACATGGTTAAAAACCCAAATGTGTTTTAAACTTGATCTGTTGGTCGAAAGAGGAGAAACTCGAAGCATTTCATATATGTTTTTCCACAGACGCTGTATTCAGCATTGTCCAGATTTGAAAGATTGAAAAATAAAAACACTATACACCACTACACTATATTTAGCTGACAGAGAATACTAGGTGTTTTTTGTAAATAAAAAAGCTATTTTCAGTTACTTTTACAGTTTTTATTATTGGCATCATGATATATAATTTAGGTAACGTATCAAAGTCAAAATGTATATTGTGACAACACTAGTAAATAGATCTATAAAGATCAGCAGTTCTCTACCAGGAGGATCATCTGGGATTTGCTCTCCCGAGGGCTGTTGTCAATTCAATTGTGGTCCTTTATAATGTCTTAGGCCACCATGCCCAGTTCCTCACCCCTCCCAAACTGACTCCTGACAGTGAGGCCATCTGTCCGGCCACAGAGCGCCTGTCCCGCACCACAGGACAGTGGGATGGTTCCTGTCTAATGCAATGTTTTCCACAATGCAACTTACGCTGACTACACACAGTCAGAGGCACAGGGCAAAGGCCAGATTTTTTTTTTCTTCTGTTTTCTTTCCAAGAATGACATGATTTCCAAAAAGCACAATCCAGCACACAATGTCATGCTGAGAATTACAATGTTAACAGGTGTCATATCCTCAACAACCTGGTGACATAAGCAGTACAACTACTGAGGATAGCGGATTTAAAGCAGTGTCTAAATAGGCTAACTTTTAGTTACTTGCAGTTAAAAAGTCAGAATTATTAGACCCTCCGTTTATTTTTTTTCCCCAATTTCTGTTTAACAGAGAGAAGATTTCTTTAACACATTTGTAAACCTGATAGTTTTAATAACTCATCTCTAATAACCGATTTATTTTATCTTTGCCATGATGATAATATTTTACTAGATATTTTTTAAGACACTTCTAGACAGCTTAAAGTGACATTTAAAGGCTTTACTAGGTTAATTAGGTTAACTAGGCAGGTTAGGGTAATTAGGCAAGTTATTGTATAACGATGATTTATTCTGTAGACTATCGAGAAAAAAAAATAGCTTAAATTGAATAATTTTGTCCTTAAAATGGTGTTTAAAAAATTCAAAACTGCTTTAATTGTAGCCAAAATAAAACAATTAAGATTTTGTCCTTAAGAAAAAAAAATATATTATCATACATACTGTAAATATGTGATGATGAATTACATTTATTTGATGCATTAGTTTATCTAGATTTGACCAATCAGATAGGGTCTAACTGTTTTTATTCTCTACTCTGCAGTTGGTGTTCTGCCATTGGCTCAAAGATGAACCCAGAGCTGAAAATAAATACTAATATCAGGAGTCGAGACGAGAAGAGAGGAAAATAATGACAGGCAATTGGAAGGTTTTCAAACAATCATAGTGCTTTAAAGGCTTAATGTTCCCACCTTGACAGAGTTTTTTTAGTCTGGATTAGAACTAATTACATCTAAAATATAATTTAACAAGCGAGGTGGTCGTTTGGGTCAGTTGGCATTTCTGTGTGGAGTTTGCATGGTTTCCCTGCATTCGCGTAGGTTTTCTCAGGGTGCTCTGTTTTCCACTACAAGTCCAAAGACATGCGATACAGTTGAATTGGGCAAGCTTAATTAGTCCATAGTGTATGTGAGAATGTGTTTCCCAGTGATGGGTTGCAGATGAAAGGGTTAAGTTGGATAAGTTGCCGGTTTATTCTGCTGTTATGGCCCCTAGATTAATAACGGGACTGAGCCAAAAAGAAAATGAAAGAATGAATGAATGTAATTTAACCATCTCATTTAACATTGTTAAATAAATAAATAAATAAATAACTTATAACAATAGCATTTTTCTAAGGGAATGTTCATTATTGCAATATTCAACAACATCATATTTTAATAGTATCATAAAACCCTACTTTGGAACAAAGTGAACAAACTCTGGAATATTATATTTAGATATGATGACAGTGTAAATGTAAACTGTAGCTACAAGTCTACTAATGTAAACTGTAATTTTAAATACAACGACATCGATTGTGAAACAAGCAGCTAAACATTTTATATGTTTTACATTACAAGATATGTTAGAAACTGGTAGTCACTGAAATTGAGAAAGTTGGTTTTATATTTACACATTCATTTACACATTCATTCAACAACTTGTGACACGCTTCCTATATTATTTACCATGGCACTTTAAATATTCGGTCTGAAATAACCTGCAAGTGTGACTTGAAAACAACACTGTTTATTTGACTGCGAACAATGTTGTACTTTAATAGTCATTGGCTGCTAAGATGACTTCACTGTTTTAAGTTTGCAAATAATACTTTTATGAAATTAAATTATTAAGGGAAAAGTCAGAATGAATGAAGAAAAAAACAGCTTTACCTCAATGTCACTGACTACTACAGCTTTTTAGGATGTAAATGGCTACCAGTTTCGAACATTTTTCAAATTAACTTTTTTGTGTGTGTTTAAAAACAGAAACTCACAGTAGTTTAAATTTTTTAGTAAATTTGACCTTTTTGGTAAACTAGCCCTTGGACAGTAAGACAAATGACAACAGATGAAAATACCTGTCTGCTGAAAGTAAACAATTCAAAGACCAGCCTAATATATTTGTATTAAATGTGTAGACCGTCACGCAGCGTTTGTTTGCCAAGATGTAAGACGTAAGAGCAATTACGTCAGATGACCAAATCAGAACACGACCAGGGATCATCCTTCAAAGCAAAAACATCACGAGGACCAAATATAACACTGAACATTAAGCAATAAATCTGTCCAGTAAACTCCTGTAACAGAAATCGTTAAAAAAAACCCGCACGTGATTATATCATGTTGATGTTTTCTCGGCAGGCCAGCGGATGTGATCAACATTAAAAGATAAAAGTCGTTATCGAGTCAATTTTTTTAAAATGATCACTATCGAAAACATAATAAACGTCGGTGTCAATTCCTCGTTATGAACAGTTTTTAAAGGCATTTTGGCTTTGCGCCAGCAGAAAACACCGGCACATGAAAAATCAGCTCTCGCCAACTGTTGGTCCTTACTGGCCAGATAAAAATGACAGCTTAACATAACAGTTAAAATGAAACGGTTTACATTTTACGAGCCTCCCAGTGAACACAGCGTGTTAAATAATCAATAAAGTGTCAAACCCCAACGTTACCTTCTCATGTCCTTTTCAGAGCTCGGTGGACAGGCTCAGTTTCTCCCCTGCTCTCGAGCGGTGGCTGACAGAAATGCCAACGCGACTCCACTGATTTCCCTCTTCAGCTTCCGGTAAGATGACGACACCGCGTCTATGCGTCATTTAACGTCAGCGAAACCCTTGCGAAGCACGTTCTTATTATTTTGTACAGTCTATGATTATGTTACTGCAAGGTTCATGTAAACGGAGACCATCAGCTAAAAAGGATAAACAAGAAAAAGATTGGCAACTCGTCGTGAGCCATAATTGATTAAATATCCTTTATAAATCAAGCCACACGGTGGCGCGTCAGGTCTCCAGTAGTAAAATATTTACTATCCGCCAAGATTTTATTACACTGAGATTAATTCATTCATTTTCTTTTCGGCTTAGTTCCTTAATCCGGTGTCACCACAGCGGAATGAACTGCCAACTTATACATCATGTTTTTACACAACGGATGCCCTTCCAGCCGCAACCCATCTTTGGAAAACAACCATTCACACTTATACACTACAGACAATTTAGCTCACCCAATTCACCTGTACCGCATGTCTTTAGACTCTGGGGGAAACCGGAGCACCCGGAGGAAACCCAAGAGAACGCAGGGAGAACATGCAAACTCCTCACAGAAACGCCAACTGACCCATCCGAGGCTCGAACCTGCGACCTCCTTGCTGTGTAACAGCACTACCTACTGCGCCACTGCATTATCATCATCATCATCATAAGGGTCTAATACTAGGCCTACTACTACTACTACTAAAAATAATAATAATCATCATCATCACCATCATCATCATCTTCATCATAATAGGGTCTAATAATACTAATAATAATAATAATAATAATAATAATAATAATCATCCTCCATCATAATAGGGTCTAATAATACTACTAATAATGATAATTATAATAATAATAATAGTAATAATCATCATCATCATCAAATAAGGTTTAAGATTATAATAATAACAACAACAACAACAACAATAATAATTAAAATAATAATAATAACCCTTATCATCATAATAATCATAATTGAAAAAGATAAATTGGCCGAAGTGTGTGTGAAAGGGTGTGTATGGGTGTTTCCCCAGTGCTGGGTTGCGGCTGAAATGGCATTTGCTGCGTTAAACTAAGCCGGAAAGAAAATGAATGAATAATAATAATAATAATAATAATAATAATAATAATAATAATAATAATTATTATTATTATTATTATTATTATTATTATTATTTTAAAAAAATAATATTAGCCTAATAGTATTATTTTTGTTATATTATTATTATTATGATTGTTATTATTATTATTATTATTATTATTATTATAGGCTACATGACACTTAAAGTAGTAGAAATGCGGTTCGTTTACAACAGAACTTTTTCCAGTTCTCTCTCTCTCTCTCTCTCTCTCTCTCTCTCTCTCTCTCTCTCTCTCTCTCTCTCTCTCTCTCTCTCTCTCTTTCTCAACAGATCTAGTTTTTCAACATTTTCTTTGTGTGACAATGGCCGTGTCGTCACTATCGTCTGCTTGTCATCTTAAGGGAGTATCAGTTACCTGCGCCAGAGTGTTTGTGTGTGTTTCCGCGGGCTGTTGTTGCTTATTAACCGCGCGCTGCGGCATCTCAAATCCAGCTGATCGAGCGCATCCAGGCGGGGAGTTCTTTACCCGGAGACAGGCATGGATGAGGAGGCTCAGGACAGCGAGTGTCCCGTCTGCTACGAGAGCTTCTCGGACAGCGCCAGGACGCTCAGTTGCGGCCATCACTTCTGCCATGACTGCTTAGTGCGAACATTAGTTAACACCAGCCTGAACGGGACTAATAAACGGGATAATATCATCTGTCCCGTCTGCAGACACCTGACATTCATCACAAAGCAGCACGGATTTACAGTTTCAACCACAGAATCCAAAAGACTTGGAAAGACTTTGGAAGTGCCATCAGTGCCCACTCCTGAATTCCCCAGGAACACTACTGGGTCTCATACCGGAGGTCTGGAGTGTATCTGCTGGTGTCTAAGGAGGATTTCATGTAGACTGTGTAGACGACAACTGGTCTGTCCTAAAGACGCCTCAGAGGTGTTTATTATAAGTGAATTGGGACGACCCATGGCAGAAGGGGACATTATCAACAATGGGACGACGTCAGGGACACAGCAGGACTACAGCAGCAATGGACAGAGGTTTTGCACCATCTCCTGCTGGCTTCTCGTCCTAATGATCTCTTTCACATTACTGGCGCTGGTGGCTGCCACTCTTCCATGGGTTTTGTTGGCGTAAAGAGTCCAGAACTGCCCATGTGGACCAATTTAAAGGGATTAATCAAGCAAAAATGAAAAATATGTCATTACTCACCATGTTTGAAACCTGAGTTTTTTTCAGATGTTTCGAAAAATGTTGGTTGGCTTCCAGAGTACTTTTTGATTTACTATTGATATCGATGGGTGCCAGCAACCAGCATTTGTTAAAATATATTATTTTGTGTTCAGCTGAAGAAAGAAACTCAAATAGGTGTAAAACTAAGAGTATATGATGAGGTGATCTCTTTAAAAGTACAGTAGTATATATTAACACACACTTTCTCAGGTGTCACTGGAAAAAGAAATGTATCGACTGGTTTCGCAAGTCACAATGAATGTTTTATGAAGAACAGGCGGTTATTTTGCGACCAGTTCCGAGGCTTGTTCTGGCTTGTCTTTGGGAAGGGGGAGACTTGTGGAAGTTATGAAGCAAACACAAATGGATAGTTTCACTGTATGGATGAATAGAGAGATCTTGAGATTGACACTTGCAGTTACTGTGAGGAAACAGAGTGGTTTAAACTTGGAGAAGCTAAGATGAGACCGTCTGGTGTCACTCGATCTTGGAGAAACACTGTGGGATTGGATTTCATTTGCTATGGACACTGACGTTTGAGAATGGAGAAAGGGAAGGGTGTCATGAGGCTTCACTTTGGTTTTTTGTTTTCTTCAGCTCGCATTGCCTGGAAGGATCAATACACACCCTCGCTCGTCCAGAAATTCTTGTCACACAGGCTAGCAAGCTAGTTTCAGCCCAGAAATGATTAATACCTCACATTCTGCGCAAGTTAACACTGATGACTTGATTGGAGGATGCTTCTGTGACATACTTGAGGAGGAATGCTTAAGAATCTCCTGCTTTAGGAGAAGTCCAATAATTGACTGGAGTTTTATTGCTCTGTGTGATGACCAATGGATCTCTCAGGTTTAATTTTGAGGTTGGCTCAGATGTTTTCTTTGGTCAAAAAGCTTATCAGGAGAAATGTTATTAAGGTGCAGTTACAGTTACTCTGTTTTTTGTGAATATTCTGGTGGAATTCAGAAGCTTGCAGAAAAGCCTATTTAATTTCCATCGTTTTATTTCTTCGCTTGTTCCAGACTGTTTTTTTCCCATTCATTTTTTTTTTTTTAATTTGTGGCCTTGGAGCACAAAACTAGTCAAAAGTAGGGGAGCGCGGCGCACAAAGTAACGCGGGGTTAAATGTAACACAGAGTTTTAAGGTATTTGCTTAAGGTTAACCATGACATGCTTCCGAGGTTTTCACCACAGTGTCAGCAGACATATTCCTGCCAATTATTGAAAAAAATTTGGCTAAATTTGCATGAGAAACACAGGAGAAAGAATTTTTACAGTATAAAAGGATTTTTTTTTGTTATAGAGTTGATATATATATATTTTTTTTTTTTTAATCTGTGAAAGAATGATAGTAAAATCTGATACTGTTGTGATCACCGTCTTCTTGACTAAAAGATGAAACCATTTTAAAAGACGTAAAAAGTAACTGCTAGCCAGTTTTGAGGAAAACATGACACAGCGGGGTTCGTTAGAACAGGGTGTTACAATTAAGCCACATGTTGGACGCCAACTAAAAGAACAAAATATTTTTGGGAATTTTGAGTGTAATGTTGAGAACTTTTTAAATAAAAATGTTTTTGTAAATAGAAAATATTGTTTTATAAGAAAAAAAATATATATATTTTATTGCTAATAATGCAAATAAATGCATTTTATAATAATGGATAAATGGATAATAATGCAAATAGATTCGTCTGTGTTCATCCAATAACCAAATAAATACATAAACATACTGCGCTATGTAGAATAAAAAAGAAATGAGCCAGGTACTAAGGAAATATAGCTACTATTTAAAGTAAACTGAATTGAAATTAATTGTGCGAAATCTGCCTGTATAAGCATGTGTTAGAACTAACCCAAGGTGCCCTTGGGTTAAAAAAAAAACTTGCAACTTACCCTGCAGGTGGGGTAAGTTGTAACATTTTTACTCCTGGGACTTTTGGCAATACTGCACAGAAACCATAGGTCTGGCGATCATAATTCCAGTGCTCATTTGTAAGAGAGGCTTGTGTGTTGTTGGTATAAAAATATGGTTTGTCTAACCCGATTACTTTGTTCATTATTTGACCAAAACCAAAAAGTGTTACTTTGTGCCCTGCTCTCCCCTACCTTTTTTGTTGTTGTTGACAGTAGAAATATTTGATAATCTGAAATCTGAGGTTTAAAAAACAATCAAAATAATGAGAAAATCACCTTTAAAGTTGTTCGAATTGAGTTAAGCAATGCATATTAGCAGACAGCTAGCTCACAGTACACTGTAAAACCCAAACAGTAACTCAAACCATTTGAGGAAACCAATTGTAACAAACCCTTTAAGTTCAAAAAGTAATCATGTGTACTGTAAACTCAATTCATTTGGGTACACCAAGCAATATAAGCACAGTAAAACTCAATAAATTAAGAGAACTCAAACCAACTCAGTACTGTAAAACCCAATAAGTTAAGGCAACTCAAATCATTTAAGAAAACCGATTGCTACAAACCATTTGAGTAAAAAAAATGTATATGAATACTGTGAACTTACTCTATTTAGGTTGAAGTAATGAGGTATTTCATTACCTCATTACCTTCAACACTGTGTTTAAAACTCTTTTCAAACGAGTAGAATTAACTTTCAGTCAATTTTGAGTTAACTACATTCGTTTAATTTGTTTAAGACTGTTGGGTTCAGTGTTGGAAATTTCCAAAATCTCTTTATGAAATATGATCTTATATTGTAATCACCTTTAAAGTTGTGCGAATTAAGTTGTTAGCAATGCATATCAGCAGACAGCTAGCTCAGTAGGAAATTTACAAAATGCCTTCAAGCTTGATGATTTTTAGCAAAAGGCACAAAAATCTATTTTTGACCCACACAATGTATTTTTGGCTATTCCACAAATATACCTGTGAAACATAAGACCAGTTTTGTGGTCCAGGGTCACATATGGACTTCAAAAGTCCTTGTTAAATCATAAAATAGCAATAGCATCATGATTAATGTAGTTTGTTTACTAAATATTTTACACTATTTCCACTATAAAACTCTACAAAGTTGAACTAATTTGAACAAATGCATTGAACAAAACCGCACAACAAACACCGATTAACAATCTGGGGTGCGTTTCCCTAACAACGACGTAACTCGAGGCTGAACTATCATAGTATGATGCATCGTCTGGGAAAAGAACGATGCAGTGATGAGTGTTTTCAAAAACCTGTAGTTTCTCTGTCGCAGATCCATCGTTTGAACCCATTAGTTATAATGTAAAACGCCCATAATGATGTTCTAAACAGGGTAGAGTAACAACTTCTTTAGAAAAGAGCCCTATAATTTTTTTGTGCAGATTGTATTGTTTCATTAGGACATTATATATGCTATTCTAAAACATAAAATCATTTCCAAAAGCTAACAAGTATTCTAATATAATATATCAATCATATATGAAATATATAATGAGACTATTTATTAAGAAATTAAATCTAATATTTATTATTTATTAGTAAATGAAAAAAAAAGTATAGTAGGTTATTTATTAAGTATCTGTACTGTATATGACATAGGCCTGTTGGTTAAAGCATATGCAGTGGTTTACATGTGTCAAATTGTAAAAGTAGACTATTATAAAAAAATAAACAAACAAAAAAAAACAATATCCTACATAATAATAATATTAATAATAATAATAATAATAATAATAATAATAATAATAATAATAATAATAATAATAATAATAATAATAACTATTATTATTATTATTATTATGTAGGATATTGTTTTTTTTTTTTGTTTTTTTGTTTTTTCAATAGTCTACTTTTACAATTTGACACATGTGAACCACTGCATATGCTTTAACCAACAGGTCTATGTCATATACAGTACAGCTACTTAATAAATAACCTACTATAAATTAAGACCATTAAAATATGCTGTTTTTTATTTTTTAAAAGCTTTTAGTAACATAAATTACACTTTTAAATAATAGGTCTTTCGCCATGAGCCACGACAGTGTTCCAAATGGCATCAATGTTTTCTAAGTGCACTGCGTAGGGAGCGTAGTTGTAAACATGTAGATCGCTAAAACTAAACTGTAAAAATGCTTTGAAAGCAAACTACAATTAAGAGTGATGACTTTAATACTTTATTTGACATAATTTCAAGTTTAAATGTTAGAATGTTCTAAATGAATAGGGCATAGGGGGAATAACTGGTAATGCAGCTCAGCCAGGAACTATGTAACTACAGCTGGGTGTAGTTGCAAGCAAGTTTGCGACTGAATTTGCAAATGTTTGTTGGAACGACGGATTTGGGAAATGTCAAATCAATGAACTATGTGTGTAACGACACAACTTGTGACCTTAGTTTTCTAACTATCATTTTCAGAAACGCACCCCTGAACAACATGCCTGTTTTTAAAGATTTATCAGTTATTAGTTTAACATCTATTTCCCCTATGGAGAAAATTAATAGAGTTTTCACTTATGAAACCCAATTTGCTTGCTTTGACTGCCTGATTTGTGCATTGTGAGTACAGCATCATGGGTAATGCATTTTTTTTTCGCTAAGTGCATTTTTAAGTGTTTATGATTTACCTGAAATGTTGCTAATGGGATTTTACACATTCAGAAATAAAGGTACGAGAGCTTTCACAAGGGCTGTATCTTTTCAGCTGGTACATATTTGTATACCAAAATAGTTCATGTTAAATTTTTAAAGTGTGTAAATTAGTACCTAAAAGCTAAAAAAAAAAAAAATGGCTGCCTTAAATCTTTAAAGTTGAATAAACTTAACCTTCCTACATGAAAAAAAAATACTATAATAATTTATAGTAAATAGTTTTTGAGCCATGCTATTGAATAAATAATGATAAAACAACAACTAGTTACATAATACTGTATAGACAAAAAAAAAAATGACCCAATACTCTAGTTTTCTACAACTGCAAGATAAATTAAACTACAATACACCACAGTTTACCGTAGTAAAAACTAAAGTTTACTACAATATTTATTACAGATTATCAGTTTACTATAATTAATACAGTGTTATAGCATTCATTAGTGAAGAGTTATTAAATAGGCCTGCTATAATACATTCTGTACAGTACACTTTACTAATCTATGATTCAAAAACACTAACAATTATTACAGTATTTAATTGTTAAGTTAAACTGTATTCATATGGCAGAATAATAAATTATTGCAATATCAACTTGTAGCTGTTAAGTTGTAACTTGTTAAGTTGACTTATCTTTTTATAGTTATGTGCATATTTAATTTACTTAGTCCTTTTTAAAAGAAATCTAATCACTTTGATGGCATACAGTACAGTATAAAAATGATATCAATATCTTAAAATAGAATACCAAATATCTTATTTGATAAATACCTGGACAGTGTCTGATTAGATTTTTTTCTTGTTATTATTGGAAATAATGTACTCAAAAAGGAATTTTGCTGCTTGTTCAAACAACTTATTTAAAACACCCGCTTGGAAAGTTTTCACTCAATTGAATGGGCATTATCAGTGGTTATCAGCTGATAGATATGGGTCAGTTGGCTGATTTAAAATGAGTTGAAACTATTCTTAAGGTATTTTTGAGGAGATTGTTATCTAAGCTTAAATGTTTTATCCACTTACATTTGTTAACTGTTGTTAACTTAATCAATTTGTGTTGGAACAACATGAAAGAATGTTTTAACAGTGTAACAAGAGAAAGATCAAATCAGATCCTGATGTTTATCAAATAAGTTACCACAATTTCTGACATCAAATTTACATTTACCCTCCAAAATACTCAAAATAGTCAAAACTCTAATATAAATAACAGGAACTATATATGCACTTTTTTTCACTCCAGCAGCTTGAGCTGAACACACAAGAAAAGTAAAGCACTAACACCAAAAGTATTACAAATGTAGAGTTTAATATATATATATATATATATCTATGTATTTCTGACATTCTGATAAGGACTGCGGCAGGCGTCACAGTACAGACTGTGTTCTTCCACTGATATGCTAAGCTGAGGAGGGTGATTTACAGGCAGATTTGAACAGTAAGCAGGGGTGGAGAGAGGACTGTACACCGTTGGATAATGTGCACATCTGAAAACACCTGTTGGCACATCCCTGCTTCATCGATCACTCCCTTTTATTGTCCGGTCATGGTTTTAATGAACACACACATGATGATTATCTAAAGGGAATCGTTAAAAATGCATGCTTTGTTCTGTCACTTTAACCAGGTGACCGAAGATCTTTATTGTAACATGTTTTAAAACCAAGGATTTGCAATCGCTTTGTCAATTCTGTTGTTTGTTGAACATTTTGTTTCATGTTTAAAATGTCACAGTTGAATGAATAATAGAAAAAGGTATCGGTGTAAAGTCTGTGTTTGTTTTGTGGTGCATTAGATTACTGGCTTCTTTTATAAAAATGCTCTTTTGAAAAGTGAATTTGTAACGTAATCTTTCTTTGATTCAAAAGCATAACAAGAGCGGTTTTGAAATTAAATCTGTTTCGCTCGTCAGCAGATCATCGGATTTCTGTACATCTTTTGTCCTTTGAAATGTTCAACATATATTTGATTCCTATGATAATGCTTATAATGGATGCTT